CTCTTCCTCCTGCCTGGCCCTGTCTTCTGCTTCCCGCTTGCGCATCTCCTCCAGCTGCTGCTGCCGTCTGCGCTCTTCATCCTGCAACTAACAGAGACACACCTTGACTTGCTTCCTCACTCCTGGGGTAAGAGGCACCAAAAAAAAAGGCAGCTCAAATATTTGTATCTAAAAGTAACTCACTCGGTAGAAAATGCTATACTGCAGATAAGTCTATATAACCTCCAGCTAGTAAGAGTATGTTTTGTTACACTGATTTCTCTAAAAAAAAAAATAAAATACATAAAATCACAAAACACACAGGGAGACATTTTTAGCAGTCATATATGGACCCCTAGCAGAAGACTCAGGTGACTCACATTCCAGACAGTTTCAGCAACCATAGTCTCATAGGTATAGTTACGTGAAATTAAATACTTGGAACCAACAGTCCACAGCTCCATCAGCCAATTGGTTTTTCATTTTGGATTAGTATTTAAGCACCGGAAAATCATGACTCATTAGTCAAAGGGTCAATCCGTTTAAAGTAACAGGCTCATTCAGCAAGTCTACAAATAGTCTCAGGAGATAAATAAAATCTCCTGCTGTATCTGCAACAGATATGTTTGGGAAAAAACAGAGAGTGAGGCAAAGAAATGTTTGACTACTGAGATTAAACAGTTCACATGAACGAGTGATGTCTAATCAGACAATACTATCCTATATATGCTTATGATAAACCCTGCACAGGCAAGGAAGCTGAGTAGCAGTCCAAACTTAGCATCATTCTCCAAAGCTAATAGTATCTCAGCCCTCGATGGACAGGAAAATTCACTGGCACAATAATATTCACAAGCAGAAATTAACTGGACTACATGTTGTGTTATTTCTTGCTGCAGCATGTGTTTTAAAGTGATTTCCTCCCACTCCTCCCCTCAAGATCCTTTAAACTGATTGGTATAAATCAGTAAATCACTGGATCTTGCTGCAAGCTGCATGTAACATGTACACTCCTCCTTGATTGCTTTTTATCATCCAGTTGCATTTACAAAGAAAGGCTCTTAAGAGACAAAACAATAACAATACAGAAAGAGAAATTTAGTTTTAATAGACTTTGTGAGAACAACCCTCATGTAGGTGTCTTTCCTCCCTCTAATTAATTAACAGGAAATGTGCCTGAAAGCAGATTAGGTTTTCTAATCAATTTTCCAATCAATTCTAAAAATAAACTTCTTTTTGGACTAATTCTCCAGTAATTATTTCCTCCCACTGTTCACATAGAATTGTACATGTACAACAGGTACTTTTGAAAACATTTGACTACATCTTCGGGCAGCTATAGTCTAAGAGCAGTGAAAACACCTCTCATTTGAAGTGTTAAAACCCATCATATTTGAGCCTGAAAGCTAAAGAACAAAATTAAGTTAATTTAAGGAGTAACTGGCAAATGTATACTGAATTCTACCTCTGAGTAAACTCCCCTTATTTAGGGCTAAAACTTTTTTAATTCTTAACCGAAAACAAGACAAAAGATCAAGCTCAGAGCAGGGAATAAAGTAGTTAACCAACTCTCTGCTTGGATTAAGACTTCTTGTCTTGGTTATTAAAAAGACATTATTTAAGCAAAGCAGACAATATTGCTGTCAAAAGGAAAGACAGCTAGTAATTCAAAAGAGTTTGTAGAGGAGAAGTAATTTCCTCTTAACAACAACAGAAAAGGCAAAAACGGCACAGTTAAATACAGGGGAAACTCCTTGACTGTCTCAATTACATTGACAAAAAATCCCTCTGAACATGGCAGTTACTGATCCTAGGTCACGGCATGGATGCCTTTGTGCTTACTAACAAATATTTCTATTCAAATGAACTTAAACAAGAAAATATTTCAAGCTAAATTAAAGGGGAAGTAGGACCATTTGTGTTTTATTTTCATGTGACATTAGCTAAAGAAAGGGAAACTGGGCAAGGTGCCCACCTGGGAACTGTTGTCAACAATAGAACCCATAATAGTTTTGAAGACACCTGTATCCTGGTCAGAGCCTATTCTAAACATAAGACCTAGTAAAAAGGCCAAAAATTATACGTATGGCACAAGTGAGAATAGAGCAACTATTAAAAGAGTGAGATTTTATTTCTTTATGGTTAGTAACTAGTTTCTACTCTAGTTTCTACCCCAGACCAAGGCAGGGAGAAGGGGGATGGTGAGGCATGCTGGGGCACTTGCAGACATTTGTAATTGCAGACTACAGCATCCAATTCAAACTTCATCCCGAATTTTCAAGATACTAAGGAAAATTAGCCTCACATCCCATTCCTAGTAAGAGGGCTATCAGATTCCCAGGTCAAATACTTCAGTTTGATACTTCTCTATCCAAATTAGTTTTCCCCTCGTTTCAGAGCCATGTTTTCATGGGATTTACTGTACTTCCAGCATTTCTCCAAAGCAGCATGTGCTTATCCTCTGTCAGGCAGAAACAACTGGTCCGTGCAGCCAAAGTGAAGGAGAGGAGCATTCTCCCAGATGTAACCGACTGGAGCAAGCTAAGCACAAAGCACTCATTCTTTCCCCCTGCTTTGGCCCAGCTCTGCTGCAAACTGCCAACAGTTTTCTTAGCTGCACAGCTCTGTGCCTGTCGCCAGCATACACCTACAGCACTATTCCTACCTAGGAGGACAAAAAAGGCCACCTTTCTTCTGAGCTATTGGGCCAATGGGCTTTTCCATATCAGAAATGTTAAGATATTCAAAGGACTGGCAGGCACCCAGAAAATCTCGGGTTCTAGACACAATTAATTTCTCCAAGCACTGCTTAGAGGTTTTTAAAAGATGTTCCAGAAGAACTTTACATTTATACCTATTTCTTCAGGACAGATAAAGCTGAGTCAGATCTGTTAGTGGTCTAGGGAATTTAAAAAGACAAACACTAGCCAAGCTGACAAATTGTGCATTAACTACTCATGACCTTTCATCAGCCGTGTAATTAGCAGAACAGCTATCACCAATGCTCACATTAGACATATTCAAAAAGCATTAAAAGTGTTTCATTCTTTTTTCTAGAGAATTACTTGGGTATATAGGATAGATGCAACTATGTGAAGAAAGTCACATGAACAGTATGAAAATAAATTAGGAAAAAGAGGTATTTGCTGGGTACAGCATTGCCCGTCATCTATTTCAGAATCAGCCTCCTTTCTTTTTTCAAAAGCTAAATTTATGAACGTAATGAATCCTCAACTGATTCAGGCCATGGATCCAGCTAGCCCAGTATTCTGTGTCTGAGGGTGGCAAGAGGAGCTGCACATGAGCCTGGCTGCCTCTGCCATTTCCCCAGCATTCAGCACGGCACTGGGGACGTCAGCAGGTACAGCCTGTGTAATCCTTTGAGGAGCTGTTGGCAGGCGTGAAGCCCGCGACCCTGTCCCCTCCATTTGTAAAGCTGCCAATGCTGTCTGCCTCCACAGCCTCCTCTCGCAGGAAGATCCACAAGCTTACAGCCTGCTTGGCAAAGTACTTTATCTACCCAGTCTCAGCTCCAGGGATCAAGGCTTAAGCAAAAAAATATAGGAGTAGTAATAAGAAAAAATATTGATAGATACTAAATCTGAGAAGTCCATGACTCCTGGCTTGTCCACTAATTCAGAAAGTTGACTTGCTGCTTCTGTTTCACTGCTGTCAACTGCTTTATGCTCTTGTACCACACAAAGCCAAACACTTTAGATAGACTTACTACATTATCTGCAGTATGAATTTTATAAGGTCATTTTTTTTTTTTTTTTAATAAAGCAGTGCCAAAAATCTAAATCCATTTTTTTGAACAGACATGTTTACAGCTTTTTCCAGCAGCATAAATTAATTAGACTAACAGGACTTGCAAGCACTACCTTTTTTTCCCCAAACTGGAATACCAATAATATAGAAATATACTTTGAAGGGTGTTTCTTCTCTAGGGGACTACAGAACTCTTTTTCCATGTACCCATTTCCAATGAGAGCAATAAAATACAGAAGTAGTTGGAGTCATAGCAACTACTGCTCCAGTTTGAAAGCCTGTCATGTTTTATATGCAAGAGAATATCATTAACCAATTGAAAATGAAATTATATGGTAACTTAATAATTGCATGTTTATGTGGCCTACTTGGCAATACCAGTTCATAAGTAATTTCTGAGTTTACAATTAATTTTTACTTTAATGGGAAAATCGTAACGCCGGTAAACAACAGGATTCCAGCATGTGCTGAAACAGTATGCTGTATTGTTAGGCTCCCAGGACAATTTCACTTCAAATTGGAAAGGAATGGTGTTGCTAGATCTCTTCTAAAACCTAAAGGGGTGGGGAAGGGAAAGGAGGAAATCTTACCTCACAGCCTGTTCATTAAAAGTTATTACTAAGACTTTATAAACATGATTGCACAAAACATCAAATACACAGTTTTATATCAGACCACGGCTACAAACAAACAGAGCCTGCAAGCAGAACACAACATCTAAAAAGGAAGGAAACACAGGGAAGGAGTCACCACATCTGGAAACATTCAGATGCATGCGTACAGTTAGCTTATGGTATCACAAGGCTTTTTGAACAACAGAGATGCCACATCATCATCCAGAGCACACAGGGTAGTTATTAGTAATATCAGGAATTGAAATGGGAAAGAGATATTGAAGAGAAAGAAACAAACATACCAAATCTAGAACAGAGATTGCTGGCACAGCAGTCTGCTGCAGGAAGTAAGAAAGGGGGAAAAAAAGAAAGATGCACAGTGAAAACAAAGATAGGTTAGACTTGTGCTATTTCAAAAGCATTTTATTTAAGTCAGTTGCTTTAGAACTAGGTACTGAATTGACATAATCCTGAGATACAGAAATGAAGACAATCAAATTATCCAAAATTTTTATCAGTATTGGTTTGACTCATTAAAAACCTCAGTAATTCTTCAGAGATGCTGCTTACTGCATCTCTAGTAGTATAGACAGCAAAACGTAATCAAAATGCAAACATTACTTCAGTTCAAGACAACTGTTATTTTTGAGTTCCAAAATGCTGGAAGAACTTTATGCACAAATAGTGTTTTAAATCCAGCACTTGCAGAGAAAAATGATACAATGTTATGCAATGCAACTGGCTTTCTATTAATGATACTTGTTTGGTTTTTTTTTTTTAGTGTGGCTACAGTAAAATTTTAAAGACTTTGTTTGTTAAAGTGGCAGCTTTACATGGATTTTTTTATGCCCATAGGTAACTGCCTGTGTGCTACAAATTACACATTAACATTGCTGGGCTTTAATGCAGCCTGTTTGCCAAGGATAGATTTAGCTTTTCCTGTCTTCAGTTTCCAAGTTTGAGGTATCTATTGTTTTACACAGTAATAAAAAGTTAGCCACAAGAAAAAAGGAAAGCAATGCAGACTGCAGTGAAAATGAGAAGAGTAAGTTTAAGAAATCAAGCTGCCAAAACAATCCTGAAACTCAAATACCACTCAAGTTGATAGCTATTTCTGAATGTCAAAAGAACCATGTCCACATACTTCTGAAAAATTAAAAATTGCTTATCACAGAATTAAGTCAACTTTTCAAGATAAACAAACCAAAGACACTCAGCATGAGACAGAGCTATTTTTTAAGCCCATCAAGGCATAATTATTGGTATATGACTTTGGTATCTGTGCTATTATTCAGAAAAGGAAAACAAATTTCTCTATGGACATTGTTTCTCAGTAATAATAGATTCAACAGATTCTGAGAGACAACAGCCATGAGCAGAGTCATAAAGCTTCACCATACTATTCAGCTCTATTATCTTATTACATGCATATTCTCAGATACTAATTAAACCGGACAGGGTGTAGCAGTTTTAACAACATCCAAAACAACATGGTTCAAGTGCTGGGGCCACCATGGAGGTGTGGTAAAGGTAGAGGTAGCAGCTGCCTTATAACCCAGCCTGTACTTGGAGCAGACCAGCAAGGTGGAATCTCAGTTCAGTTCACAGTTCCCTGCAAACAGCACGTATTCAGTGGTGTGTTTAGGTCCAAGACTATAAATGAGAACTCTCAGAGGTAAATACTTTTTTTTTTGGGTGGGGCGGGGAGAACAAAATCACACTATTTTTGCTTCTGATTTTCCTAGAGGCTTTTATAACTTCAAATGTTTTTGCTTACCTTCCTATGAGCAAACTCCTGCCATATTTAACCTCCTAATCCTACCCCAGGTACACAGCGAAATCCCTTTATCCAAAGGGAATTTCTTTCCTCGCAGCCAGAAAAGTCAACTCAACTGGCAACTTGGATTCTATAATAGCTAGCAATGATACTTTTGTAAAGCATCACTTAGCGGGTGAAGCCACTCTAAGTTATCAATTTTAAAATTCAGTGTATTTAAAAAAAGCTTCATCCTCCTTTATAAGAACATCTTAGTACTTGGACAAAGCCAGAGAACCCACCAAGACACATATCTACGATACTTTTGTCTAGAAAGGATTATCCCTTTTTACCCTTGCTCTTCTTTCTGCCTCCAGTCGCTGCATGATGAGCATAGTATCCACATCATCATCCTCCTCTTCATCATCATCTTCATCCTTTTGCTTTGATTCCTGAAGTCGCTTTTGGAACTGCCACTCCAGCATGAGCTTGCGGAGGCGGTCGTTTTCTTCTGCCGTACGATCAGGCTTGTTCTGAAGTTCCTGAATCTCTTTACTCAGCATGTCCACAATGTGCATCTGTTGCTGCTTCTCCAGTTTCTCCTTCGCGTCCCGCTTCCAGGGATCTGGAGAGAGGCTGTCACTAGAGGACAGCTCTTCCTTGCTGATAGTGATGTACTGGAGATCTCTCCGCTCAATAGTCCGAGGCTGCTGCTGGGGCTGCAACTCTCGAATGACCGTTTCTTGAGACCTCTGCAAAGTTGAAGTTTTTTCTGATTTCACTTGTTGAAGGGAAACGGGGGGAACCACAGGCTGAGCAGGAATTAGTGGCTGAGAACGCATTTGGCCCAGTTTTCTCTCCTGCTCACGACGTTTCCTTTCTCTTTCCTCTTCCAAACGTGCCTTTTCCTTCTCATACCATCGCTGATGCTCTTCTCTTTTCTTACGCTCAGCAGCAGCCACTTGGGAAGATGCTTGTGCTCCTATCTGATTTGGAGGCGGAGGGGGAGGCAGAGGCAAATCCATTTGCAGTTCATCAAATTCAGCTGCATAATGCACCGGAGGAGGTGGCGGCGGAGGGGGAAGATCTGTTCTGATGGGCTGGGAAATTGCCACTGGAGTTGGCTGGCTAGTAGCAGGAGTTTTCCAACGGCCAGGACCGCTTTTACTTAAACAAGAACCAGGCGAGACAGGTTTGGATGCATGGTTTAGGTGTTCTTGGCTAGATGTGCTCGAATCCACAGAAGAATTCATCCACTGATCAGTGTCTGATTTCCGATCGATGTACTCTACATCCTTCCGAATTACAACTTCCAAACGATTCCTCTCTGGCTGGAAAACTTTGTCTCTGAGTTCTTCCTGGGAACGAGCCACACGCTAGAAAAAATTAAACAAGGCATGTACTTCATAGTGCATCTATATGAACACACATTTAAAAATGGCTCACAAACCACATTCTTATTACTGAAGGTAATCACTTTTAGCGATTTTCAGCATTTCCATGCTCAGTAAGTTTCCCAAAACCAACAGTAAAATGCTCTCAGTTCTTTTAACTCATTCAAGTCACGGAAGGCTTTGCAACCTCTGAAGTGCCTGGAAATCCAGACTGGAGGGATGAACACAAAGCTGAGCTTAAGCCGAAAACCTCTGCAGCTCACACAATTTCTCAGGACTGTCCCTGCCACCCCCTCCCTCTGTGAGCAGGAGAACCCTGGCAGCTCGGAGGAGCAGCTCAGGCACACTCGCTCTGCAGCCTCCTTCTGGCTTGACTGGACATTCTTCCTATTGGGAAGGCAAACAGAAGGGCTGCTGAGGGAGAGACAAGGGATCCTCCCACCCTCCTCCACTGCCAGGCGAGAGGACCCGTGGGAAGCTCCGGTGATGGCAGCGCCATCCACGGGCACGGAATCTGGGCACTCGGTTCTCATTCTACCTGCTCTTGGGGCATGGGTGCATTGGGCTGCATTTCTGTCCTGTTTTTAGTGCATCAAACACCAGGTCGTTTCTTTTGTCCATGCTCAGGGTGTCACTGCACCACACGACCTCCCAAAAAGGAGTACTGCACCAAAAATGAGGTTTACCAAATCTGTTAATGATTTTCCTGAAGCAAATATTCATACTTCAAATGTTAGGAACTACTAGGCACTGAACACACAATGCACCAATTATCAATAATTGAGAGAAGACTAACAAAACAAACTCCTTTCATTTTTCCTCCCTCAATGACCCTAACCATGACCTCTAAAGAATGCCTTCTTTGAGATGAACAAGTGTATTTTTTATGCTCTATTACTCCAGCAGAGCCGAACACACAGCTATTTGTGTTAGGTTTGCTGTAAAGATGCACCTAGCCAAACAGTTTGCTAATGCCTTCAAAACAGAAAAACAGGCATTTCACATCAGTCAGTAGCTTATGGTAGCTTTTCTTACAAGCCCAGCTCTCGCTGTGAAGACTAAAAGGATATTTAAAAAAAAAAAAATAATAATTTAAAAGTCTATTTTCCTCTAATTTTCAACTTAGAGGAACTATTGTGTGGCAAGTAAAAATTGTGTACTCTTTCAGTGCTTGTAAGGAACTAAGCTTCTAGCTATTTGCTTTATGAAGATGCTTTTCTGCACTGCATTCAGCCTTAAGACCCCAGCTCAAATCCAATATCTGTCAACAGGTCTAACAGATAGAGTTCACCTCACCAGCTTTAGCCACCTCACCTAAGCTACTCACTTAAGCAGGGCAGAGATGCATGTCTTAGTGGGATGAACTGCTGCCTGGACAAATGGATAAGAACCATTCTCTGGAGGTACTAGCCTCAGCCAGTCCCACCACTGACAGTGAGCACCCAGATGTTATTAACTGTGCAGGTAAGATGAGGTGAGATGAAATCACAAAATGTGAAGGAGTTAAGAATGGAGTTAATTCAGCAAAATATTTCCATAGCTATTTGCTACAATCATTTAACTTGCAGCATTCTCCTTCAAAACTACCAGCCTACTTTGGGTAGAACAGCTGTTTTATTAACAGCTGAAATAACTAGGATCTGATATCTATAATACTGAAAGGAAAAATAAAAAAAGCTTTCACACAATTGATTTTTTGCTGAGTAATCAATAAGCAATCCTTATTTTGCTTCTATGACACAAATCTCAGGATAATTTACATGACATTGCTCTTCCAAAAGTAAAACATACTGAGCTTGGTGTAAGGCTCTGCTTTTATCACAAAATACGAAAAAAAAAGGTTTTCTCTCTATATTTTTAAGTCTGATGGATTAGAGAAAAAGATGATGCAGTGACTGGATTTGGTAGACCTAGATTTAATATCCTGTATGGATTTGAGTAAAGTCCTCATTTATAAAGAGCAGAACAACATTTTTTTTTTTTTACTTTATAAAGGTACAGTGGGGGTAAATCATTTCAGGTCAAGAAGCATCTGCATTTGGTAATAGATGCAGCTTGATTTTTTTTTATTTTTTTTTAACTGAGAGCAGGGAATGTGTTTCAGTGAAGACCTTGGATAGGTCTCAAAGTATTGTTTTATTTCATTTTTAATATTCATTTTGTCACTTAAACAATGCATCCTGCAGGCAAAGATATCTTTCCATGTAAACCTTCTTGGAAGGGTGGAAGATTTAGCTTGCTTTTCAGAAAGCCACAAAACATTTTACAAGACAAACTGTACTAACTTCTACACCCCATTACCTCTAATGGGGGATTAAAACATCTCAGATAACAGGTCTGCATAACATGATAGTATAAATTCTACAGAGGAGAATAATAATTTTAAAAAAAAAAAAAAAGCAGTAGGGTTTCTGAACCCAAGCCCATCTTGGCAAAAGTACAGTTGTTCCCCCTCTGTGGGATAGCTTGTCCTCTGCAGCTCAGAGATTATGGAGAGCTGGCTGTTCTGCAAAAATCTCTCCTGCAGTTTGGGAGTGGAAAGCAAGCAGTTTCTTTGGGGTTTTTTTTGGGTTTGGTTTGTTTTGGTTTTTACAGTGAAAGAAATTATGTCTTACCTGCATTGTACTATTGATGGAATGATTACTTTCTGCCTGGATCTGTGGTTTTTCTTCATAATTTGGCCACTGACTCTGAGCTGGACCCATTCGATCCTGGGATTTTGAAGCTGGAAATGTGAAATATTCTCTAGTATAGGTCTGTGTTGGGATGGGATAAGCTTCAGGTCGTGGGGGCAGAGTCTGTTCCTGAAAAAGGTAGAAAGAACATATGGCATAATTTTCTAAGGACACAGATCTGTATGGAGTATTTTTGTAAATGTGCATTTTCCAAATGTTTTCTTTTGGCTCATAGGAGCATTATTTGTCTGGAGCAGGAGATAAAGAGGTTGTCTAGTATGAAATATAATTGTGGTTATGACTTATGTTGTTATGGTCTGAAAATAAGTATGCAATATTGTACAAACCTAAGAAATCACACGGACAGCTTCATGAACAAATTTAATAAAAATCACTCAAAGCTGTCTCAACCTTTCATGAGCTGTAATAAGCAAAACCCCCACTCTTTCACCAGCACCAGCATTATGTTCCAATAGTTAAGTAATACACTGGTTTGACTCAAGCACACTGACGCTATTGATAGCTATGGAAAGTTTAATAGCCAGCATTTTGCTTGCCACTTCTGACCTCTGTACAAAGATTTCCAGTAGAGACTGAGGTTATTTTGGTGGTGGTTCCAGATGCATAAGCATTCTTTCCCCCGGGGCTTGGAGGCTGATCTGTTGGAAAGTTAAAAGGAAGCATTTACATGACTGTTATTTTATTAAGTTATGTCAATTATCATTAACCGTATTCACAGAGCAGCTATGATTTTTCCTTTGACCAGGTCTAATGAGAGGCTTGCTCCAAAAGTTACTGCTACATTAGCAAGTTAAACTTAATCCATTCTGAAAAACAATCACCCCCTTTTTCAATTGAGCGGCCTCTGAAATGAGTGGAGGAGGCATCTACCCCTAGGAGGAGGATGGTCTCACTTACTGGCCACGTTGGGACTGGAGCGGTGATCGGCTCTGTTCTTCATTAACCTGTCATCCCCTGGCAGCTTCTTTGGCTCGCTGTACTCTGTCCATGGCAGCTGAGGGCTCTCAGGTGACCCGTTTTGAGTGGAGTTGTTGTACAGCTCAAAACCTTCACTCTTGGGCCGGGGTTTACCTGAGCCACGGCGGTCAGAAACTGTAACAGTCGGATATCTATTTTCCCCCTTCCACTTATATTAACTACTGTCTAGCACATCCTTTTTCAAACCAGAGAATACCTTGCATTTATAATTAAAAACGAGTTCCCAGTAGAGCAAATGCTAGATTTTGAAATCTTTACTTCTTCAGATACACAATGCACTCTCGTATCCAGTACGCAGGATTCCTCTCAGTACGTTTCAAAAGAGCTTTTGAAAAGGTACCACAATATTTGGTAAAACCAAGTGCACTTTGCTGCATCTCTTGCTGACTCTCAGAGGCATATGGCATCTGGGATAGTGTTGTAAACTGTGATAATAGGGATTTACTCTTTTAACCCATTCTTTTCTATACTGTAGTGCTACCATATAGGTAGAAAAGGTCCTTCCTTACAAAATTATTTCCTTTACAATGTTATTTTTCATGAGACTTAAATATGTCTCTTGTTAGTTCACTGAAGTAGGATGATAAAATGCAACACTGGAGAAACATCCAAGAACTTAATGGTTCCAAGAACACAAACTCAAGGAGATACATTTCAGTATTTCTAATTTAAAAAAAAAATAATTAAACGGCAAAATGTATTCCAGGGGCCCCTGTTTCTATTTATTTTTCTCTTAGTAATTACACTGCATTCTCTGGTTACAAGGAAGTCATATTCCAACAGAAGAGAAGCTTTCATGAAAGGAATAAAAAAAGCTGTTGAAGTTTAATGCCCTCTGTATTCACTATATTCAAGTCATTAAAATAGAAATTACTTCAAACCAGAACTGTTTAAATGCATCATGTATTTTTTAAAAGGTACATATGCAAAGCATTTCTTTATTATTAGACTAGCATAATTCAATATTTAAAAACAGAGGAACTTGTGATAAAAAAGGAAAAGCTTCTTTTCTGTGCACTTAGGTTTCTTCTCTGATCTAATATTTCAGTAGTATTTGACAAGCTACTGTGAATTATTATAATTGCTGTGTTCTAAGACTACTGTGTTCTAAGAGCTGTTATCAACGTAAATAATAATAGCATTTTTACCTCTTTGCATCATTGGGGATGGCTGATTAAGCAGGGTTGCCAGACCATGGTAAATTGCTCCTTGTTTTGCTACTTCTAGTGTTACTACAGAACCTGTCCTCGTCATAAGTTCTGCTGCCCTGCAATAAAAGCCAAAGCAAATATAACAAAATAAAATTAGGCACACTATTACTTAGTTCTCCTTATTATAGATTTGTATGTCATGATTTCTCACATTTATTCTAGTAATATTTGACTAAACACTCTTCTTCTGATTAATACTTAACTTTAAAAAAAAAATTAAGACCATGACTAGAAGATACACTTATTAGACAACACCTACAAGGCAGTTTCTGCAGTTGAAGGTGAGAAGACAAAACATTTAAAATAGGAGCTAAATGAAGTTTGTTTAAAACTAAAGCCCAAGTGTGTAATACAGTCTCTTCTATATAAAAAAAAAAATCTGTATCATATACAGAAAATAGTACACAAACAGTTGAAATTGTTACTAAGGTTGCCCACAGGCAGTTATAAAAAGCCAAGGCAAAGCATAAAATGTTAAAAAAAGCGAGTTTCAGCCCTTTTCAGTGAATTATTACTCTAGCACTTTCTTCCTGTAAAGACACCCAAGGAAAGCATTCTGTACCTTTCCTGGGACAGGCCCACCAGACTTCGTCCATCCACACTGAGCAGCTGATCCCCTGCAGCCAGACGACCATCCTAAATGCATGTTCAGGAGAGAGGAAAATTCATGCACCAATGCTAACATGGTCTCAGTTAAAACATTTATTCACACATACTAGTAAACAATGGATTTAAAAGCCTGTCCAAAGGATCTTTCTACCTTTGAACTTCTGATGTTTAAGGATATTACTAACCACATCTGCAGCACCTCCTTTCACAACAGACTTGACGTATATTCCAAGTTTGTCCTGACCAGCACCCTACAGAGAAAGAGGCATTCATTTATTATATTTCATGTCTTAAGCATTCCACAAGCGTTTATCAGAATTTTATACAGCTAAGCAAACCTCTTAAGTTCTCATTACTTTTATATATTCTCAAGCTGGAAAAAAGCAATTATATGGAAAAGAGTTACACTAGAGTCAAAAGAAAATTTTAATATTAGGCCTATTGAACCTGGAAGCAATGTTAGCAGCAGAGAATAGTTGGTCTTAATGCAAGTTTGAACACGAAGCAAAATACATTAACTAAAACTTGTACTTTAGAAGTTGGTTCTAATCCCCTTCCAATAGGAAATATTTATTTACACTTTTACATGCATGTTATTATTTTTATACCTCTGTGTATTTTGTTCCAAAAGACTGCACTGTTTCCCTTGCTGATACCCAAACCAAACAAGGTAAATTGCAGATTACAAGAAAAAGGAATAGAAATGCTTTTTATGTTTACCAGGACTGTAAAGGAGCTAGCGTGAAGGAACCAACAGTGCCTTTAATTTTACAATAAACAAGTAAACATTGTCATTAGTAAGTCTTTTAGAGTCAACAGAGCCAGGATTTAAGTTTACTGCAAAACCATGCAATTTTATTCATAGAACATCTGCCTCAAAGTATTTGAGTGAACTTTGAAAGGACCATTAACAGTGAACTTATTGCAAGACAACCAACAGATTCAAGACAAGAGAACGTAAGCATCTATTCAAGCCATGCTGCTTGCATCATCCACATGCTACGATTTAGAAGACACCAAACAGATCAGTCTAAATGTTAGTATCACAAACCTTTAAATTGTGACTTAAAATGCAAGACAATCACTGGTGATTTCATTATCTACTATAGCAAAGGGTGCCATTTTACTCTGCAGGTCACTTAGAAGAGTGCTACGTAAGTTTTCAACAGCACACGCCTTTTAATGTAACATCTTTTTCTAAAATAACCCCCAAGTTGCTTTGATACTGAATATGCAACCTCCTCCTCTTTTTTCCCCCCTCAGTTTTTCCCAGTTCTTTTCTTCTGGCAGCAAAAGCATTCATTGCTCCCACTCTTACAATAAAGTAAAATAAAAAAATAAAGGTGAAGATTATTCAAAAGCTAGCACTATACATGGTTTTCTAAGCAAGTGAAAGTCCTATTTTTAGCCATTAAATCTTGAATTAATCCTAAATGTTCACTCAAAAGCCACAGAAAAGGAATTCCTTTGAGTCCTGTAATTCCAGATTAGCATTCTACATGCCCATATTTTTTATAATTGCTTAAGATGTACTTATGGGGGCTGGGGGGAGAAGGCAAAAAAGCAGTAGCAATAACTAACTGAAGTAAGGACACTTTCTTTGTCTGGAAAGAATATAAAGGCAATTAAAAAAAAAAATGTACTTATTAATTTATTGTTCCAAAGGGCTCTAAGGAATCATCAAGTGAACTGTACAATACTTTTAACTGTAACCAATTTTTTTATAAAAAGTTATAAGAAACAAGTCAGAAGACAGCTAAATATAATGAAATGTGAATCATGCTTCATAAATCTCTTTTTCCCCCTGAGCAACAAAAAAAAAACACATGGGGAAGGATGATCTTGTTGACAGAATACTTAGACTTCCAAGACAGATGTGGCAAGATCTCTTACTAGGAGTTCTTCAAGACTTTAAGGTGACACTGGATCAGAAAATACTTGTCCTTGTGTATTAATAATTGCTTCAACAATGGATAGGAATTTGTCAGTTTTCACAAGGAAAGGAAGTTTCCAGAGAAGTCCTAAATGAATGTGTTGTTCACCATGTTCATAAGTGTTTCAGAAAAAGGACAAACAATAATGATAAATCTTCTCTCCAATAAATTTAGTTACAAGTCAAAACCAAGAACTGAAGAAAGACTATATGATGCTGAACACTTCAGCAACAATGGACAGAAAATGTATTTCACTGGTGCAAATGTGAGGTAATGCTCCAATCTTGTGAGCGACCAGTCCCCATCAAGGCACTGTCTTCAGAAGCAGTTGCCACCTCCCCTTGATGGGAACGGAAATTTAAGATGATTTGTCTTATATACTCCTCCTTCTGCCTCCAACCTCTAAATATACCTAAGGGGAAGCTCCTTTAGTTCCAAAGGACAAGAGTTGACAGCAGCACACCCACCCACACTTACGCATCACATAGTTACATACATAAAATGCAGGAACCAAACAGCAGCTTTTCTTGGTGGCTTAACTAACTAGAAGCCTCTGAAGCCACCTGGGATTGATACTGCTTTTATTCGGTCCTAACTTCAAAGGATGCTAGCAAGAATCTCCACCCCCTTGGATCCAGGAATTCAAAGATGTGCCTAACACAGTCTAAGATTAGGTAAAACCAGCAAGCCTTTGGAATAGCATTGACACTTTTTAAAAGTGCACCTATTAATTAAGCAATTTTGGGATCCTGACTTTGGTGCTCCGGAATTACATTAGACACTACATCCACACACATCACCTTTCCTATGCTCACTCAGGATTGCTAGTGCATACTGTATGAAGTTGAATCCTTCTGTTTAAGCCCACGTGCACTGGTTTGCAGACAGCAATGAGGTAAACATTCACAATTGTGCAAATATCCATATAATTCTTTCCAAAAAAAACCCTAATAGTCACCAAGACTAAATAGTCACTAAAAATCTAAAAAGGTTCAGTTTTAGAAAATGGTTCCAAACTCTGATTACTTCGAGGCTCAGAGAATAACAAGGATGATTAGAAACACGGAAGAGCTTTCTTGAGACAATCAGCTAAACAAATATGGACTCCTCATCCTAGCAACAATCAAGGAACTGAAGGTTTACCAGTGTTTATGAGTGGCATAAATTGGATTATTTATCATGTCTCTTATCAGCCAACAGAGGAAGCTTTATTATACACACTATCACAGTTAGCATATTTTAAAAACTGAAAACCAAACCAAGTACAACAACAACATCTCAATAGGGTTTCATGATTGAACTGGGAAACTGACAGGAACAAGACTGCTGTAGATGTCGAAATGTAAACATGCACAAAAAAAGATCATAGATTCATGGTATGGCCATTCAAGGGCTTTCAGAGAAAGAACAAAACAAACAAACAAAAAAAACCAACAAAAACAACACCCCCCCAAACAAAAAAACTCCAAACAGCCAACCACCAAACAAAACCCCAGATATAATGCACTCTGAAAAATTCTGAAATTATAAAAAGCTAGAAGCCAGGACGAACCCTCTTACACTTGTTGTGTTGTGTTCTTTTGTTAAATACCCCACAGCTGGATGATACCAGATCAGATGGGTTTTTGCTTTAACTGTTCCTATACTCTTCAGCCTTGCAGTAATTCATTACAATTTGAAGGAGCTGACATTTTACTCCTTGTTGCTTCTTTTAAAGATGTTTTTATGAAGTCTCTACAGTTTGTCAACCCCTTCCCTGTTCTTGTAAGAGAAGTTACAAACAGATGTGTTAGATCCAAGTTATCTCACTTAATACAAAACTAATGAATTTTGGAAGCATAAAAAATGATTGAAAAATAAATCTCCATTCAGATTACATAAAAGAAAATCATTATCAGCTACTGCATCTACTCACATATTATTAGAACAAATTACTTCCTTCTCTAATTCACATGCCATGTAATAGATTTCTAAAAACATGCCTGTGCTCCCACTTATACTTGGGAAGACTTCTCACTAAGCATCCTCAAAAGTTAAGTTGTCATCTTCCTTCAACTTTTACTCTAAGTTTTGTAGTAATCTGAATCCAAATGCTTAATTTTCTATTGAAACCGACTCAATTTTTCTTCAGTTTCATCCTCCAGGAGACTCCATCAGAAGGAAGGGTACAGTTATTAAGGACACAGACACAGAAAGGATGTTAGTATTTACATATTAAGACAGGCATACTAAAGTCCAAAGTGAGCAAAATTCTCATACATACCACAGGGGTTTTTCTCCTATCATTTACTGACATAACAACACCACAGGTTTCTTTGTAAACTGCTTATTAACCTTCTTTTCTTTGAAAGGAATGTGAAGGTCACCTTAACCAAAACTATTATCTCAAAAACAAAACAGAGCAATGGCATGTGTGTATCTGTAACAGTAATACAGCAGACATTCTTTTCAGTTCACTTTATTTTCTCCAGTTCTGAATACCAAAAGCATGTCTATTTGTAAGGCTGTTAGTCTGAACAGAACACAACTGTAGAGAAGTTAGATGGCTGTGGAAAGGAAGAATGAAGCAAGCATAAAAAGATGGTTTATTCCCCTCTGCCTCCCAAGATTAACATACTGGAACTTATAGCCCCTTTTCTCAAACATATGTAGCCAAATACAAAACTCAGAAAAACTTTAAAAGTATTAAAAAAAAAAAGGCAGTAAATTCAAGATTTAAAAAAAAGTGTCATCCGCAGTAGTAAACTCTCTAGTGCTATCAATTTAAATGTTTTCTTTCACACTTCAAGCAACTTTTACCCTCAATCCTTGCAGAAAGTGAAATAATAGTATCCTGTGGAGGAAAAATTTGAGAAATCCTTCCCCTAAAGTAGTAATTTCAGGAAAATTTTCAGGTTGTGTTACTGGAAAAAAACCACAAACCTACTACTGCTGTTTCTGTTCCCTTGGGTGACAATGCTGCTCAACTAAACTGCATGAGCATAACACTCAACACTAAAGACCTCCTTAGCTTAGATCTAAAAGGCATCTGTTGTTACAATGCATAACCAAAGCTGAGAACTAGAATCAGACAAAAATATTAAAAATTCTGATACCTTACGTACATTAGACAGAAAGCTTCAAAATGAGAAACACCTCCATTCTGTGTTTTTACAATGCAGTTAAATAATCAGCACAAAAGAACAACCCAGATCAAAAAAACTACATAAAGCCCCAAGAACTAAATTTGGAGGCCAGCAGTAGGGCACTACTTACACATTTCAGTATTCTTTTAAAGAATGTTGTATTAAAATAATTACTAGCAGTGCACTCATACA